CCATGCACCAACCTCAATGTCTAAACGCACGCCAACTCCCCAAACCCTAAACCCTAAACCCTAAACCCCAAACCCTAAACCCTAAACCCTAAACCCTAAACCCTAGACCCTAAACCCTAAACCCTACCATTACTCTTCTCAGGGCGTTGGCAATGGACGCGTCGCAGTTGCTGAGGGTAAAGCGAACAACTTTATTAGAGAGTTCTGTGACTCTTATTGCTGCTTGCATTAGCTGCTGCTGCTGCTGCTGCTGCAGCTGCGGCTGCTGCTGCAGCCGCTGCAGCGCAGCAGCAGGGCCCCCGAGGGACCCCCCTATGGAGCTGCTGTAGTCGGCTAGATGACTCATTGCTGCTGCTGCAGCATATCTTGCTGCTGCTGCTGCTGCTGCTTCTGCTGCAGTTCAGGCTGCAGGTCGTGCTGCAGTCGCTGCTGTTGCTGTTGCTGCTGTTCCTGTTGCTGCTGCTGCAGCTGCCTTGGCTATTGCTGCAGCAAAAAGGGCTCCCGGAAGCCCTGCTGCCGCAGCAGCTGCTGCTGCTTCTTGCTGCTTGTCTTCAGAGGACCGGCAGCAGCAGCAGCAGGAGCAGCAGCAGCAGCAGCAGCTGTTGTGGAAGTAGCTGCAGCAGCCGCTGCTGCTACTAGGTCGGAGCTGAAAGGGTAGAGGGACTGGTCTGCTGCTGTTGTTAGGGTTTAGGGTTTAGGGTTTTGGGTTTTGGGTTTAGTCTGACGCAGACGAACCCCCCAGGCCCTTGCCTAGGGCCCTAGGGATTCGCTGGGGGCCCCGGTGGAGGCGGCTAGGGTTTAGGGTTTAGGGTTTAGGACTTCGGGGTCCCGAAACGAAGTTTAAATTCTAGGGTTTAAAGCCAAGGGCTTAGGGTTTAGAGTTTTGAGTTAGGGTTTTATAACCCCCACGCCGCCGCTGGCTTCCTTAGGAGGGCCGACGCATGCACAGCTCGATCTGCTGCTGCTGCTGCTGCTGCTGCTGCTTGAGTGGAGAAGCAGCAGCTGCTGCAGTTGCCATAAAAGTAAAAAGCAAATTTAGGAGTCTCAGGTGTATAAACAGCTCGTGCTGACCCCTTTTCATCTTCTGAGCCGACACAGGTGAGGTGGACAGACACCGCTGCAGCAGCAGCAGCAGCTGCTGCTGCTGCTTCAGCTGCTGCACAATGTGCTGCTGCTGCTGCTGCTCTCTATCGGTTGGAAGAAACTCCGCATTGCTGCTCGCAGCAGCAGCAACAGTGTACACAAGCTCCTGCTTCCACGACTCTCAGCAGCAGCAGCAGCAGCAGCAGCAACAGCTGCAGCAGGAGCAGCAACAGCAGCAGCACAAGCAACAGCAACAGCAGCAGCAACAACAGCAGCAGCAGCCTGATTCCTAGCGGCGCTGGGCAGTGCTGCCACCAGATGAAGAGCTGATTTACCCCCGTTGTCACTGCTGCTGCTGCTGCCTCTGCTGCTGCTGCTGCTGCCTCTGCTGCTGCTGCTGCTGCTGCTGCTGCTGCTGCTGCAGTTCCTCTCGCCCTCAAGATGGCGACGCCGAACGGCACAGCCGACGGGTGCGTGTGTCTCCTTGTGTCTCCCTTTTCACTTTTTGTCTTTTTCTTTTTTATTTTCTTTTTTTGTCCTTTTTGTCTCTTTTTGTCTCCTTTTTGTTCTCCTTAATTGTCTCCTTAATTGTCTCTCAACTATCTCCTCAATTGTCTCCTTTTTAATCCTTTTTTGACCTTTTTTGATCTTTTTTTGTCCTTTTTTTGATCTTTTTTTGATCTTTTTTGATTTCTTTTTTGTCTCCTTTTGTCTCCTTTCAGAGCTGCTGCAGACCCGAGTGAAATTGAGGCGACATATCCTTGCTGCGACATCGCCCTTTGGTGGTCAGTTTTGCTGCTGCTGCAGCTGCTGCTGCTGCTGCTGCTGCTGCAGTTGCTGGAGCTCCTGCTGCTGCAGCTGCAGCAGCAGCTGCTGCTGCTGTTGCTGCAGATTCTGTGATTTTGCCGCTTCTGTTGCTGTTTCTGCAGTCGCTGCTACTGTTTTGCTGCTGCTGCTGTTTTGGTGCTGCAGTTGCAGTTCGCTGCTGCTGCTGCTGCTGCTACTTTCTTAACTGCTGCTGTCAGCTTCTGCTGCATTTCTCTTTATGGCCTGCTGCTGCTGCTATTGCCTTGCTGCTGCTGCTGTCTTGCTGCTGCATCTATTCGTGCTCTGCTGCATCTATTCGTGCTCTCTTGCTTTTTCTTCTATTTCGCTGCTGCTGCTGCTATTGCTTTGCTGCTGCTGCTATTGCTTTGCTGCTGCTGCTATTGCTTTGCTGCTGCTGCTATTGCTTTGCTGCTGCTGCTACTGCTTTGCTGCCGCCACTGCTGCTGTTTTGCTGCTGCTGCAGCTGCCAGCTGTGCTGCAGCAGCAGAGTCGCCGCAGCCCTTGCTGCTGCAGCAGCCAAACCTACCCCCCTGTCCATTTGCTGCTGCTGCTGCTGCTGCTGCTGCTGCTGCTGCAGGCATGAGCTGCAGCTGCCCGAGAGAGACACCACCCCAGAGCGGCGCGCAGAGGCTAAGGAGAAGCTGCTGCAGCAAATCGAGAAGAATGGTAAACCCTAAACCCTAAACCCTAAACCCTGGCTGCTTGTGGTATGTTTCTGTGGAGGGTTTCAGCTAGGGTTGAGGGTTTAGGGTTTCTGTTTCGTTTGCAGCAATGGCCCCACTCTACCGCAAAGCAATTGAAGAATTCGGCTGGCCCCCCCAAGAGGAAAAAATAAAGGCGAGGGTTTAGGGTTTAGGGTTTAGGGTTTGTGGGTTCTCCCTTTGCAGCTCGCGCTGCAAACGTCTCCAAACCCTGAAACCCTCGCGCCTCCTCCCTTAAACCCTCGTCAGCAAACAAATCAATTATTTATTATTTATTTATTATTTATTATTTATTATTTATTATTTATTATTTATTTATTATTGTTTGTTTGTTTGTTTGCTGCAGGCAATGGAGGCGCAGCACGAGCAGCAGCTGCTGCTGCTGCAGCAGCAGCTGAAAGACGCGGAGGAAAACTACGGAGACACTGAAGTCCGCGAAGTGCTGCTGCAGAGGGCCCACTTGTTCTGCAGAATTGGAGACATAGTAGGAGACACTTTTTGTCTCTTTTTGGACTTCTTTTGCATCTTTTCGGACCTTTTTTGCATCTTTTCGGACCTTTTTTGTCTCTTTTTGCATCTTTTCGCATCTCCTTTTTGGCTTCCTTTTGTCCCCCTTTTTGTCTCCTTTTTTGCCTTACTCTTTGGCTTCTTTTGCGTCTTTTTTTGGATACTGTTGTCTTTTCTTTTGGGTCTTTTTGGACTTTTTTGGGTCTTTTTTGCCTCGTTTTTGGCGTTTTTGTTGTATCCTTTTGTGTCTCTTTTTTGTCTCATTGTTGCCTCTTTTTCTGGCCCTTTTAATCTCTTTTTGTTGTCTCCTTTTGTGTCTCTTTTTGTGTCTCTTTTGCCTGTTTTTGGCTCTTCGTGTTTCTCTTTTCTCCTTTTTTTGGCTTTTTTCGACTATTCTTTTGTTTCCTTTCTGGCGCTTTTGGTGGTTTCTTTTGTCTCCTTTTTGTCTATCTTTTTGTCTCTTCTTTTGTGTTCTTTTCGTCTCCTTTTGTGTCTCTTTCTCGCTCTTTTTGGCTTTTTTTGTCCTCTTTTGGCTCTTTTCTGTCTCTTTTCTCGTCCCTTTTTGTCTCCTTTTTTGTCTCCTCTTTGCCTGTCCTTTTGTCTCTTTTTTTGTTTCTTTTAATCTTTTTTGTCTCTTTTTTGTCTCTTTTCGGCTCTTTTTGTTCCTTTTTTTCTCTTTTTTTGGCTTTTTTTGTCCCTTCTTTCGTCTCCTTTTTGTCTCCTATTTGTCTCCTCTTGTGTCTCCTTTTTGTCTCTTCCTGTTCTTTTTTCTCTTTTTAATTTCTTTTTGCTTCTTTTTTTCTTCCTTTTTATTTCTTTTTGTTTCTTTTTTTGTTCCATTTTGTCTCCTTTTTGTCTCCTTTTTGAATCCTCTTTGTCTCCTTTTGTGTCTCCTCTTTGTCCCCTTTTTATTTTTTTTCTCGTTCTTTTCTCTCTTTAAAATTCTTTTTTGTCTCTTTTTATTTTCATTTTGTTTCTTTATCAAAATGAAAAGAGACACTTTGTTCTTGTTTTTCTTCAAATTTTAAGTATCTTCAGAAGTCTTTTTAATAAATTCCATTTTCTTTTGTATCCCTTTTGTCTCTTTGCTGCGCCTGCTGCTGCAGCAGCAGCAGCAGCAAAGTGTCTCCTGCTGCTGCCTGTGGGGCCCCACAGTGTCTGTTGCAGCAGCAACAGCAAAGTGTCTCCTGCTGCTGCCTGTGGGGCCCCACAGTGTCTGCTGCTGCTGCTGTAGCCTGTGGGCCCCCACAGTGTGTGCTGCTGCTGCTGCTGCGTCTGCCGCTGCTGCGTGTGGGGCCCCACAGTGTGTGCTGCTGCTGCTGCGTGTGGGGCCCCACAGTGTCTCCTTTTGTGTTTTTCGGTGGATTTACCATCGAAATGTTTGATTTTTTTTGCAGAATTGAAAAGGAAATAAAAAGATTTGTTTATTTGTTCTTTTATTTCTTCTTTTGCGCCTTTATTTGCCCACTTTTGGTCCTTTTGCTGCAGCCCCGCGCAGTGGAGGCCTACAGAGTGGCCTACGCAAAGACTGTGGGGATCGGATCCCGGCTGGACTTGATCTTGACTTTGCTGCGAACTGGAATTGTCTACAAAGACAGAGACCTCGTCAAGAAGCAACTCTTCCTCGCCAAACAGTTCGCTGCTCCTGTTGCTGCTGCTGCTGCTGCTGCTGCTGCTGCTGCTGCTGCTCCTGTTGCTGCTGTGGTTGCTGCTGCGGCGGCGGCGGCTGCTCTTCTGGCGGCAGCTGCCGCGGCTGAGCGCGCTTCTTCGCTGCTGCTGCTGCTGTCGGCAAATGTGGAGGTTTGCTGCTGCTGCTGCTGCATCAGCTGCTGCTGCTGCTGCTGCTGCTGCTGTCTCCTTTGAAGGCGACTGGCGCAGCATGGGGAAACCCCTGGCTGCTGCAAGTTGAAAGTAATCCAACTAATTACCATTATTCTTTTCATTTATTTATTTTATTATTTATTTATTTATTTATTATTTATTTATTTATTTATTATTTATTTATTTATTTTTATTTGCAGAGAAATGGAAAAGGGAGGGGACTGGGAGCGACGCAACAAATTGAAAGTCATCGAGGCCCTGGACTTCATTCTTTCCAGAAACTTCACTGAGGGTCTGCTTAACCCTAAACCCTAAACCCTAGTAAACACTAAACTCTAGTAAACCCTAAACCCTAGGAAACCCAAACCCTAATTCTAGGCCCTAGTTCGAAGCGGCGGTCCTGGAGCTGCGGCGTAAACCCTAGCCCCACACGCTGCTTGCAAGTCCTAGCCAGAAACCCTAATTCTAAACCCTAGCTCTAAACCCTAATCATAAACTCTAAACCCTAGCTCAAGTCCTGGACCCTAACCCTAAGCCCTTATCGAAAACCCTAATCAGCCTCTTTATTATTTAATACTTTTTCCTTTATTTATTTTTTTAAATAGTTTCTCTTACTACTATTATATCTCTTTTACGGTTTAGTAGGCACTAACTGCTGTCTTTCGTTCAGGGTTAAGGGTTTAGGGTTTAGGGTTTAGGGTTTAGGGTCTGAGTATAGGCTGTCCATATGATTATTACTATCGTTCGTTCATTTTCATTTATTTCCTTCTGTTTGTCCTTAACGCTTTGTTACTATTAGTTGCTTCTTGTTAATTGTTTATTCTAAGTATTGTTCATTTCTGGGATCGAGGGTTTAGGGTTTAGGGTTTGGGGTTTTGTGCTGCAGCGTCGAAACTGCTGCTGGAAGTGCTGGCGACTTTCCCTTCTTGCGGAATTATTTCTTTTGAAACTTTTGTTTTTTATGCTGCTTTACTTGCGCTGCTTTGCTGCGACAGACAAACCCTAAAAGAGCAGGTCTGCTGCTGCTGCTGCTGCTGCTGCTGCTGCTGCTGCTGTCGCTGCTGATGGCGGCGACGGGGCTCCGTTGCTGCTGTGCCTGCTGCAGATCATCTGCTGCTGCTGCTGCTGCTGCTGATGGCGGCGACGAGGCTTCGCTGCTGCTGCGGCTGCTGCAGGTCATCTGCTGCTGCTGCTGTTGCTGCTGATGGCAGTGACGAGGCTTTGCTGCTGCTGCGGTGACGCGGCTTCGCTGCTGCTGTTGCTGCTGCCACTGCTGCTGCTGGCGGCGATGGAGCTCTGCTGCTGCTGCGGTGGTGCAGCCGTGCTGCTGCTGCTGCTGCTGCTGCTGCAGGTGGTGTTCTCTCCAACGATTGCTGAGGGCGCTGACAATGACATGAAAGGTCTTCTTGATTCTTTCTACAACGCCAAGTACCGCGAGTTCATGCAGTACCTAGGTAGGGTTTAGGGTTTAGGGTTTAGGGTTTAGGCTTTCAGGCTTAGGACCTAGGATACAGCTTTCAGCGTCTAGATTTTGGGGTTTTTAGGCCTTATGCACTAGGGTTCGGCGCATAGGGTTTAGGGTTTAGGGTTTAGGGTTTAGGGTTTGGCGCGCAGTGCCCGTCGCGAAGCGCGTCAAACGCGACTTGTACCTCTCTCCTCACTATTTGTTTTTTATTCGATCTATTCGACTAAAGGCTTATCAGCAGTTTGAGGAGGCGTAGAAGCGCGGGACTTGGGCGAGGGTTTAGGGTTTAGGGTTTAGGGTTTAGGGTTTAGGGTTTGGCGCGCAGTGCCCGTCGCGAAGCGCGTCAAACGCGACTTGTACCTCTCTCCTCACTATTTGTTTTTTATTCGATCTATTCGACTAAAGGCTTATCAGCAGTTTGAGGAGGCGTAGAAGCGCGGGACTTGGGCGAGGGTTTAGGGTTTAGGGTTTAGGGTTTAGGGTTTAGGGTTTGGCGCGCAGTGCCCGTCGCGAAGCGCGTCAAACGCGACTTGTACCTCTCTCCTCACTATTTGTTTTTTATTCGATCTATTCGACTAAAGGCTTATCAGCAGTTTGAGGAGGCGTAGAAGCGCGGGACTTGGGCGAGGGTTTAGGGTTTAGGGTTTAGGGTTTAGGGTTTAGGGTTTGGCGCGCAGTGCCCGTCGCGAAGCGCGTCAAACGCGACTTGTACCTCTCTCCTCACTATTTGTTTTTTATTCGATCTATTCGACTAAAGGCTTATCAGCAGTTTCTCGAGCCTTACAAAACAGTGACTCTGGAGAGTTTGGCCCAGGCCTTTGGGGTGTCTGTCCCCTTTATCGAACGGTGGGGTTGTTGTACTGCCTCTTTTTCGCAGTTTCGCCTTTTTCGCGTTTCCTTTTTCGCTCTTTTCAACGCAATTAGTTTTAGACGGATTGGGGCTTTCAATCTTCTTCTTTTTCTCTTTTTTCTCTTCTTTTTCTCCTTTTTGGGTCTCTTTTTGGTCTTTTTCGCCTTTTTTTCTCGCGATTTTTGAGTTGAAGTCGCTTTCTCGCGGATTTGACGCCTTTTTGTGTGCTTTTCGTCCCTTTCTTTCGTATTTGGGGTTTTACTTCTCTCTGCAATTATATCTTTCCGAATTTCTTGTCGAAATGGCGTTTATTGCCCTTTATTTCCTCTTTTTTCGCTTTTTTTTGCATTTTTTCAGAGAGATTTCCGGCTTCGTGGCCTCGGGCCGCCTCGGCTGCCGTATAGACAGCGTGAACGGGGTCGTCGAGGCCCACCGCCCGGACGCCCGGAGTTTCCTTTATCTGCAGACAATAAAGCAGGTGATTTTCTTTTTTGTCTGTTTTTGCGTCTTTTTAACTTCTTTAAAGTCCCAATAGGTCTCCCAAATTATTTAAAAAGGTTTAAAATGGTTTAAAAGAGTTTAAAAGCTTCTTTTTGGCTTTTTCCAAGCTTTTTTTGACCCCAAAAGAGTGTGGAAAGGCCTTTTTCTGTCTGCAAAAATAAATTTCGAATTTCTTCTTTTTGCATTTTTAATCTCCAAATAAGTCTTTTCTGTCTCCGGGCTTTTGCAAACAAATCCGAAAAAGATCTCTTGAGTTTAAAAGTCTTTTTTAAAAATTTGAAGTACTTTTTTGCGAAAAATAGATAAATATGTCTTAGATGCATGCAGCATCTGGGGCCTTTCTTTGCTGCTTATTTTTTTATTTCGATTTGTTTGTTCATTTCAATATAAATGAATAATTTTTTTTGTTTTAAAAAAACAGTTTTAAAATTCTCTTTTTAATGTGCCCTCAGGGAGATGTCCTTCTAAACAGAATTCAAAAACTCGCCAGAGTCCTCTCCGTATAAAATGCCCCACAGGGGCCCCCAGAGGGGCCCCCAAGGGGCCCCTCAAGGGGCCCCCAAAGGGCCCCCCATGGGGACCCTCATGGGGGCCCCCAAGGGGGCCCCTAAAGGGCCCCTTAGGCTGTTCTCAAGGGACCCGTAAAGGGGCACTTAAACCCTTATTAAGGGACTCCGAAAAGGGCTTCCGGGGCCCTTCTAGGGGCGCCAAAAGGGGCCCCCGGGCCCTGCTTGGGGCCCCCATGAGGGGCCCATAGGCCCTTCTAGGGGCCCCAAAAGGGGCCCCTACGCCCTTCTTGGGGCCCCAAAAGGGGCCTCCACTTCCTTACAGGGGACCCTAAAGGGGCCCATATGACCTTAAGGGGCCCCTAGAGGCCATCAGGCTCTTAAAGGGCCTCAAAACTCATTTGGGGGCCCCTAGGGG